TATAAAATCGAATGTATGTCTGTCTGTACGTATCGCGATTACTCCCGAACCAAACATCGGAATGCGACGATTTTCCGGTACCGAGGTCAGGACATGCTAGGGATGGTTATAGACCTATCAAATTTCATAAGGGTTCAATCGCCAGGCCCTTTCTCTTTCTTCCCTTTCGTTCCTATACTTCGTTGTTGTTGTTGTACGAATAATTATTCAACTCCGGGTGATAACGAAGATCGCCTTCTCTGGATCGACTCGATAACTTGAAGGCAAACGTATGGTAGCGTTCCGAATGCACTATTTTTGGTTCGTGCCCTGAAAGTCGGCACTCGAAATTACCCGTTGATGATCGTTAGGAATGGCCCCCAAGCGGAGTTCTCTGGGACGTTCCACGCGTCAAGTTAGGAAGCGGAAAGCATCACTCGCACTTGAGACCGAGGATCGGAGGCACGAGAGGCTCGCGCGGGAGAGAGCACGACAGGAATTAGCGCGTTCGAATGAAACAGAAGATCAGAGAACTTTGCGGCTAGAAGCGGATCGGAATCGTCATTTTTCAGCCCGACTTCATGAAAATAGTCGTCAGAGAGAGAGTAGATTGGAGGAAGATCGATTACGAACAGCCCGAAGCCGTATGCATGAGTCCGATGAACGAAGATCGGCACGATTACTGGAGAACAGGGGAAGGTGTACTCAATCCAGGCGCAACCTTCACGTGGATCTGAAACTTGCGGCTTATGAGTACGATCCGGTGTATGATTATAGCAAGCACACCAGCGTGAGTATCGGTAAAATGGATGAGGTCTGTCAGTTCTGTCGGGCATTCAAATTTAGGAATGAGAGTCCTGGAATGTGTTGTGCGGGGGGAAAGGTCGTTTTGCACGAGGTGCATTCACCGCCGGAACCTTTAGCATCGTTAATGCTCGGCCAGACGAGTCAGGCGAATCTTTTTCTTCGAAGCATTCGTAAGTACAACTCATGTTTTCAAATGACATCTTTCGGCGCCACGGAGATTATACGAGACAATTTTATGCCTACCTTCAAAGTATCAGGACAAATCTACCATCGGGTTGGATCGCTTTTACCATTGCCGGAGGCGGATCATCAATTCCTCCAAATCTATTTCATGGGGAATTTCGACGAGCAAGTTGACCAGCGGTGTCGATTTCATTCAGGTGTCAACAGAGACATCGTTGCAGCTTTGCAAGCTTTCTTGCATCAACATAACGAGTTGGTTCGGTTGTTCACGACTGCTTTGGAGCGTATGCCCGAAGACGATTACGTGGTTGTTATCAGAGCTGACAAAACACCGACTGGAGAAAACAAGCATCGCTTCAACGCGCCCTCAATCAATGAGGTTGCAATCGTGATAGTCGGAGAAGAATTCAATTCGCGAGACATCATTCTCCATCGTAGAAACGGCGATCTCCAGAGAGTGGCTGAAACTCATCGGTCTTACGACGCATTACAATATCCACTGATGTTTTGGAGTGGAGACGATGGTTACCATTTCAATATTAGAATGAGGAATGTGCGAACGGGCCAAGAGATGGACAAAAAGGTCAGCTCGATGAATTATTATTCTTATCGTCTGATGATCCGAGAGAACCATGATAATCATATACTGAGATGCCGAGAATTATTCCATCAGTATATAGTTGACATGTATGCGAAAATCGAGAGTGAACGTCTTTTGTTCATCCGGCTGAATCAGACCAAATTGCGATCGGAAGAATATATTCATTTACGAGATGCAATAGCCACAGACGGGAATGTGAATCCGAATCATGTGGGAAACTCTGTTATCCTCCCGGCAACTTTCACTGGAAGTCCACGTCATATGCATGAGTATGCTCAAGATGCGATGACGTATGTTCGGGTCTACGGCCGTCCGGATTTATTCATCACGATCACATGCAACCCGGCTTGGGATGAAATTAAAGACAATTTGTTTCCTGGTCAGGCGGCTTCGCACCGTCATGACATCATCGCGCGTGTTTTCAAGCGAAAATTGAAAGCAATGATGGACTTCATTGTCAAGCACCATGTTTTCGGAGAGCCGCGGTGTTGGATGTACTCCATCGAATGGCAAAAGAGAGGATTACCGCATGCGCATGTTTTGGTTTGGTTGATCCGCAAGATAACCCCAGACAATATAGATGCTGTCATCTCAGCGGAAATACCAGATAAAGATTCAGATCCAGGATTATTCGAGGTCGTCACCAAAAACATGATCCATGGTCCTTGCGGTGCGATCAACAACAAATCTCCGTGTTTGAAAGACGGAATTTGTACGAAGAGATACCCTCGGAATCTTCATGCGGAGACCATAACTGGTAATGATGGATATCCTCAGTATCGACGACGATCAATCGAAGACGGAGGGAGAACAACAACACTCAGGGTTCGCAACCATGATGTTGAAATCGACAATCGTTGGGTCGTACCGTATTCCCCGCTACTTTCCAAAACATTCAAAGCTCACATTAATGTCGAATACTGTAATTCGGTCAAATCTATCAAATATATTTGCAAGTATGTAACCAAGGGGAGTGATATGGCGGTCTTCGGAGTGGGGAACGCATCAGCACCGATCGACGAGATAAAAAGATACCAAATGGGGAGGTATATTAGCAGCAATGAGGCGGTATGGCGTATACTGTCCTTTTCGATACACGAACGATACCCTACGGTAGTTCACTTGGCTGTGCATCTCGAAAATGGACAACGAGTTTACTTCACTGCCGAAAATATGCAATCGAAGGCGTCGTCACCACCAAAAACGACTTTAACAGCTTTTTTCTCATTGTGCGCGAAAGATTCGTTCGCGAGATCGCTCCTCTACGCCGAAGTGCCCAAGTACTACACATGGAATGTTTCTACGAAAGCATTTAGCCGTCGAAAACAAGGCAAGCCGGTTGAGGGACATCCGAGTATGTTTTCGACCGATGCATTAGGTCGAATCTACACGGTTCATCCTAACAATCAAGAATGTTTTTATTTGCGCTTACTGCTGGTACACGTGAGAGGACCGCAATCTTTCCAAGACCTGAGAACGGTGAACGGCGAAGTCCACGAGACCTATCGAGAAGCTTGCTTTGCCTTGAATCTTCTAGAAGATGATATGCACTGGGGGAAAGCACTCAACGATGCTTCGAGTACTGCTATGCCTAAACAGATACGCATTCTGTTTGCAATAATTCTAACAACATGTTCCCCTTCGAATCCACAAGATCTTTGGAATGAATTCAAAGATCATATGAGCGAGGATATTCTCCATCGATACCGAACAGTGAGTCAGGACTACCACCTTCAATTCACATCATCAATCTATAATGAAGCTTTGATTGATATCGAAACTATATGTTTGACCATTGCTAACAAGAGATTGAATCAATTGGGTATGACCGCACCCGATAGAGCAGCGGAAACAATCTTCGATCGCGATCTCGCGCGCGAAACGATTTATGATACTAACAGCTTGAAGTCTTTCGTGACTCACAATCTTCCAAAGTTGACCTCAGAGCAACGTCAAGCATACGATACTATTTTACAAGCAATCGCGGAAGGCAAAGGTGGGTTCTATTTCTTGGATGCACCCGGAGGGACCGGAAAAACCTTCCTGATATCATTGTTACTGGCGTCAATACGATCAAGAAACAAAATAGGTCTCGCAATGGCCTCATCTGGAATCGCAGCAACACTCCTGGAGGGCGGTCGAACAGCCCATTCGGCGCTGAAATTGCCATTGAATTTACATATCAACGAGACTCCAACGTGTAAAATTTCAAAGAGGTCAGGGATGGGGAAGATCCTCGAATCCTGCGATCTTATTATTTGGGACGAGTGCACTATGGCGCACAAAAGAGCCTTAGAAGCGTTACACCGTTTATTGACAGACCTGAGAGGCAACGAGAGTCTGTTCGGTGGAGCTTTGATCCTTCTATCAGGCGATTTCCGGCAAACTTTGCCAGTTATTCCACGTTCCACACCCGCAGACGAATTGAATGCATGTTTGAAAATGTCACCTCTTTGGCAACATGTAAAAAAACTATCGCTGAGAATTAACATGCGTGTTCTAATCCAGAATGATTCATCTGCAGAAGTCTTCGCTAACCAGTTGTTGGACATAGGCAATGGAACGATTGACGCTGACGACTCTTCTGAATGCATTTCACTGCCAAAGAACTTCTGCACGATGACATCTTCCAAGGAGGATTTGATTCAAAAAATCTTTCCCGAGATTTCCTCAAATTATGGGAATCACGAGTGGCTAAGTACACGAGCGATATTAGCCCCAACGAACTCTGATGTGAATGACATTAACTCATCCATCTTAAATGAGGTGACAGGCGATGAGAAGATCTATAAATCGATTGACACTGTGATCGATCAAGAAGAAGTTGTGAACTATCCGATAGAGTTCCTGAATTCATTGAACGTACCTGGTCTACCACCACATGAATTGACATTGAAACTGGGAGTTCCGATTATCTTCTCCGGAACATAAACCCACCCAGATTGTGTAATGGGACAAGGCTCGCAGTGAAAAGATTAGCTGACAACATCATTGAAGCTACAATACTGAGCGGAAAATTCAAGGGAGAAGACGTTCTTCTACCACGTATCCCAATGATACCTACGGATATGCCTTTCGAATTCAAACGTTTGCAATTTCCGGTAAGACTTGCTTTCGCGATGACGATAAATAAGAGCCAAGGGCAAACTTTAGAAGTATGTGGTTTAGATCTGACGAATCCATGTTTTTCTCATGGACAACTCTACGTTGCATGCTCACGGGTCGGAAACCCCTCTAACTTATATGTTTACGCGCCAGATGGAAAAACGAGGAACATTGTGTATCCGCAAGCCTTGAAATAATCAGATGCACTATCGAATATATTCCAATCGAGCCAGTTGATATTGATATCACTTATATAATAGAAACAAAAATTGAATGGGGAAAGGTGAGGTGATAATATTGTCCATTCGGAGCTACGTCTAAAGAGAGTTTTTGATTCCGAAGATTCGAGGATGATTCCATATCCGGGGAAGCATCAATTGAGCAAAAAGAGGTACCTTTCCTGAAAGAGAGCAGTAGCTCTGATGCGAAAGTTGATCATGCGATCAATACGAAATAAATCGGATATAGATTTTCGAATTCAAGAAACCATGTCATCTTTCTCTAATCTCGAAACCCACTAGGCATCAGAACCCCAAATCGTCATCATATCTGGCCAGCATGGAAACCAGAGCTGTGCGTCAAGAATTAGTTTTGGTACTCGAGCCCGTTCTCACGGGGATACGATCGAAACGCATGGGAACTTGGAAGATAATATCATCCGTAACAGTGTTTCCCAACTCTTCGGTTCCGCGAAAAGATTTCTGGGGTTCCGTGAGACGTATTCTGGGGTTCCGCGAGACGAAATCTGGATTTTTCATATCCACATGTGTGATCGTGCATGAAAAATACCAATTCGTTCTTGCGGAGTATCTGTATCTAACACGACCATCATCCTGAATCTGAGAAAAATCGGATTCATTCTTGCATACCGATCACAAGAGATGTGGAAAAGCTAAAATTAGACGAGACATAAGAGCGAACCTCGTGGAATACGAAATACGCTTCTGTACGCGTATTCTGTCTACAGAGACGTCCTGAGACACAGACGAAAAGTATAAAAAGCCGCGAGATTTGTTTCGATTCACCAAGACAACGATATCCAGCATTCACGAATCATGGCCGATGCCACGAATGCGAGGAACGTCCCGGGTCCATCTGGATTTTCTAACAAGAAGCGCAAATCCAACACGACAAGCCCCGATTGCGATGTCTCCATGGTCAAAAAAACAAGGTTTCTAAAAGATGTGGTCTTGACGAGATATGGTGGAGTTTTGGAGGGCAGAGTGACCTCGAAAACACCCATAAAGGAATGGTCCAAAAACGGAAAAGAAGGAAAACTATTCTCTTTCCTCATGGCCGACGAGACAGCCCGAATTAGTGTCATCGTGTCAGGCGACAAGACAGATGAAGTATTTTCGACAATCCAGGTCAACCACTGTTATAGAATCACGGGGTTTAAACCAAAGCCAGTCAATCCTCACTTCAGTTCCACGGATCATGAATGTGAAGTGACGCTCTCGAAGGTAAAAACAAAGCCGCCGGTCTCGCTCAATCACATACTTCCATCTTACGCATAATCACTTTTTCTAGATCTCGAAAATCAAAGAAATCGAGAGGGACGACATCCCACAAACTCAATCCCTCTGTTCCTCGATTGCGAGCATTCTCAATATCGAGAAAAATTGCCTCATAGACTTGACGGCAATTCTATTTGATCTACTCCCGGTTCAGAACATAACATGTCGCGATGGCTCCATTCAGAAAAAGCAAACGGCGTTGTTGGTTGACGACTCGAAGAAAATTGTCTCGCTCGATCTCTGGAACAAGCACGTGGAAAAATTAACAGACATGGAGGGCTGTCCCGTATCTATCAAGTCGATAACCGTAAAAGAGTTTCGTGGCAAAATAGTTCTCGGTTCGATGGCGAACACCACCTTCAACGATGGTGAACCGACCGGCGAAACACGAAAAGAATATCAGAAAAAGTGGTGGCTGACGGGAGGTGTTTTCTCAGAGTTCGAGGAGCTGGAGATACCCCTGCCGACTACCGAATAAAGAAACTCGACATCCTATCCGCTAGAGTCTGATTCTGTAGTAATCAGTAGTGTGATCAAGAGTTTTCCTATTTCACCTCTACACGAATGGCTAGAAAACGAACCATGATTTGCGGCGGTCTACCTTCATTAGCCGAACGTGTCCTTGGTGTCGATCCGTCTATTTGCCGCAGCGAAGCGCGGGCGGGAACTTGATATCACGACGAAACCCTTCCTCGAAGCACTGTCGTCACCCTAGCCGAGCCTTACCAGTCTCGAGAAGCATGACCTCCGCTGGACGTGAAAGCCTTGTGAACCATCAAATGTGCCGAGAAGTTCGGCGAACGAGCCATGCTTGAGTGGGGGGGGGCTGTCATGGGAACAGAGCTGATGCGGAGCTAGGACCGAAAGCTGAGATCCTATAGGGGAATCCCGAAACCGAAGCTCAGCATCGGATCGGAAAAAAACGAAATTCTACGTCGTAAAATCTGCCGAAAGACGTTCCTAACCCCCGTGGAGTTACGCCCACGACAGTTTTAAAACAATCTTGTTTGTCTTGATTTTATCTCAATCAACGGACTGCAGGCCATCGATGAGCACTATATGGTATTAAACTAAGACGGCTGCTCAGTCACGATGGAAAAGAAACAAACTCAATCTCTCCATGGAGCCTCGTTCACTCAATAAGCTCGAAACGTACCGAGATTGCTATTTTCGTACAGGTACCTGCAGAGGACTCGGAAGCCGACGGTCGTCTCCCTAGCCAAGATTTCCGTCCTCGCTTGCCCGCCCATCCTCCCACCAGACTGCCTCTCCATTCAGGGTCAATAAAATACGCAGCACTCTGGGAAAAAAATAGGTTTTCCAGCTGCTCTCAGGCGTATGCTTCAGTGCCTTGCTCGTCGCCGAGGCTGCCGAGGTACACAGAACGAATTGCTCTGGTCTCGTGGGAAAGACGTCGGCAATTGCTCTAGGTATGTACCTAGCTACCTACTTCATGCTGCTACTGCTGCCGTTTCTGAAGTGGACTTGGCTGAGTCTACCACGAAACCCAATAAAGACTCGGAGTCTATAAAGCTCCCGCGAACAAGGATTGAGATGTAGTCCGCTGTGAACACACCCGCTGAGACGCAAGCGGTCCGAACGGGTCGAGTCCGGCTGAGCCGTGTCGCCGAGCTCAGATAACATATCGCGAATTAGAACTACTTAGGCTAACGCCTGACGGGCTAAACCGTTGTCGGTCTGCTTTATCTTATGTCAGGGCAGTTTGTAATCCACTCTGGCTGGCCGAACTCGATGACAGGAGACGAACTAGCTTTCAGATAGCAGTGGAAAGACTACGCCTACTGGGAAGCCACCAGACCCGGTATTCGCCGCTAAAACGAGCGGCGTCTCGGGCCGAGCCCCCGGTGGCGTCGCAGCATCTTTCGCGTCTGTCGTCGGCTGACCGCAGATATTTCCCTGGACGGATTTCCCTGTGATCACCTGAGGGGGAGAAAGAACCTGGAGAAAGAACGGGAATGGCCTTCTCCCCCCTTTCGGCTGTCCCCAAAACACGACGAAACGCTCGAGGCTGTTTCTGTGGCATCACTCCAGAAGGCGGAGAGACTCGTGCTGATAACGTTCTCAACTAGACTGACTGAGAGGGAGCATCAGCGCTTATCTCGTGGCGTTTCGGGAACAGCCCGAGCCCTGCGATACGTGGCATCCTGCTCACTGACTGACTGACTGAGTAATCCCTCCATACGTGATGAGCTCCCTTGTGCGGAGACTCCAGAGCTGCACGTCAGCAGTGAATGGAGCGACAGCGGTGCACAAATGCACACCGAGAAGTCCCAGTCCACGAAGTCGAGCTAAACTTCTCGGCGGATACGTGCTTGGATTTGTCATGCGGCGACAAGAACGGATACGACGACAAGTGGAAGAGACGAGAGCAACTGTCGCATCCACTTTCCGAACTCCTCCAGAGAGAAGTCAGACGCATCCCGGGAGATTTCGAGGATCCATCCAAAGGGCGGCATCTGGCGCCTGTCGAAATTTTCGCATCGGTATCCTGCTCGCTTCTCTCGGCATCCTTGTCCGATGCACCCCATTGCCCAGGACCGACTTTGTTCGGAACGAATGAGCGCGAGTCCGGACAGACGGACGCGGATACACACGATATCGGCTCCGGCGAGGGCATCGGCGCCCCCGTGGAGGGCTTATTGAGGTTCAAGGTCGCTTGATGGGTGCACTATTTTTAACGGTCCGATCGATCGCTACCGGAGTGACTCCATATAGATTTTCGGAGCACCAGGCTTAGGCTAGGGATGAAACCCTCGGAATCGATGAGCCGCCCGGAGATGAGAATCCGACTGAGGACGGAATTCGCAGCTCGGACTCCGACAAGCGGAGTAAGGCTAGTAGTGTTGAAGCCGTGGACGGAGGCGCGCACTTGGCGTGAGTGTTGCGAACGATCCTAGAGCTTCCGCTCACGCCACGGTCGGGAGCGAGCACGGCGCAGACGCTGTGGAACGACGAGCCCGGGGGAGAAACTCCCCGGAGGTAGAAACTTCTCCAACGTCTGCCTTGCGAAATGGCTCTGAGCGAGCGTCTAAAATGAACGAGTGATTTTCCTTTCGGGAACGTTCGATCTATGGATCCGCCCGCAAGGTCACGAGTGCTTCCCCAGAAGGGGAGTAGGGAGCCCATTCCCGGATGCCCATCTCCGAAGAGCGCTTCCAGATTGTCTATTCAGAGAACGTCAGTCTTTTATTTTTCTCGTCGCCAATCCGGCACGCATCGCAATCCACAGACGATTCGACGAGGCTTGTCAGCTGTTCTGAGGAGAAATTTCGCAAAACAGCGCTCACATGGCGAAGTGTGAGGAGCGAAGTGCTGGAGGACACCGCGGTCCACGACAACTCGGCCTCGGCGACAACTCGGCCACTACGACAACTCGGCCACTACGACAGCTCGGCCACTACGACAACTCGGCCACTACGACAACCCGGCCTCAGCGACAACTCGGCCTCCACGACAACTGGGCCACCACGACAACTCGGCCACCATAGAGACTCCTTTTTTTATAGAATTGCACGTAAACCCGCGCTCCGGCTTTCTCCGAGAATCTGCCCCTTTTGATCCATCCTGGAAAGCCCGAACGCCCCGCCTGACTGCACTCGGACCTCGGAGAATCATAGAACACTTCGGCACTTCCCCTCATCCACAGACGGTCTGGGAAGCTTTAGACCTCATTAGACCGAAAGACCGTATTTAGAGTCGCCGCCTGTCGTGCTAGAATGTAGTCGGTGTTGTTGCTATCGTCGTTGCTCGTACGTGCAGCATGTTTACCACGAGGCATCCGAAGACTTTCCGAACGGATCCCACGCCTGGCATCGGACTGAAACATCTCCGCGAAGACAGGAATCAGGATGTCAGTTTCCGTCGAAAGTCAGCGAGGAAAAGAGAGACTGGCCCACGACGGGTATCTGTACGTGTTCGCGCAAAGGAGTAAGGATCAACAGACAGAGTTCTGGCGCTGTCAATACAAGGCCAGCAAAAGTCAGAAGTGCACGGCCCGCGTTCATAGGTCTGTTAGAACTGGGGAGATCACGATCAAAGGCGCTCACACTGACATGCCGAGTTCAGCAGCTATAGAAGTCCAACAGAAGAAGGTAGCGATGAAACGTCGAGCGGTGGAGACTCTAGAAGCACCGCAGCAGATCATCAACAAGATACGTGCTACTTCGTCGCTGGCTGCCAAGGGGAGCATCGAGAGCAATAAATCGCTGACAAGGACGATACAAAGAATTCGCAATCGTGTCGGAATACCTTCGGTGCACTACACGGATCGTCGGGATATCGTCATCCCTGAAGAATATCGAGTGTATGAAAGTAGCCCCGGGATTGTGGAACGGTTCTTGCTCGGTGACTCGGGATCCGACGATCCCAACAGGATCTTCCTCTTCGGCAGAGAAACGGTGGCCTCCTGGATCGGGGGAGTTTCGAAAATCTACTGTGACGGGACCTTTAGTTTGGCCCCGAATGAGTTCGCCCAAGTCTTCGTGATCCTTGCGGAACGTCCAGGATGCGTGACCCCGATTTGCTACGCTCTTCTGCCGAATAAGTCGGAAGAATCGTATTGCAAGGTAATTTCTAGAAAGAAGATAACGTAGATTAAGTTTGAGCTGACGGTAGCAGTTGAGAATGTCGCCTTGTCCTATATTCTTAAGCCCCTTAACTAACCCGTCATTCGCTTCTCTGCTAGATGCTCGATATGTTAACACTCGGATGGCCGGCCTTCAACCCGACGAGCGTTTCCGTAGATTTTGAAAAGGGCCTGATGAACGCGTTCAGCGCCTACTTCCCCGATGCTCAGATTCAGGGATGCTTCTTTCATCTTGTGCAAAACATGAAGAAGCAAGTCGCGGCTCACGGTTTGAGCAGAAGATATCGTAACGAACCGGATTTCGAGCTCAAGGCAAAGATGATCTCGGCGCTCGCGTTCATTCCCCCAGAAAGACTGGAGGTCGCGCTCCGCGAGCTCCGCAGTGATTTGCCAGAGGAATTACAGACAGTCCTGGATTACTTCGAAGACAATTATATCGGACGTCTCCAGGCTCGCGGCGATGGATCTCTGACACGCCGGAACCCGTTGTTCCCGGTTTCCATGTGGACCGTCTACGAGCGCTCGCTTCGAGGGGAATCCCGGACGAACAACTACGCGGAAGCGGCCCATCGCAGTCTTCAGCGCCAGTTCCGTGTCGAGCACCCGGGGATGCTCAAATTCATTGACGGAATCCGTTCTGTGCAACAGAGCAAGGACGCCGATTTGGAGCGTTATATAGCCGGGTACGCCGCTGATGGGAAGAAGAACAAGTATGCTGAGAATGACCGTAGAATTCTACGTATCCTAGAAACGTAAACACCAATACCTTAAGCGAGACTTTGAGGGGCATCGCCCATACCTACAAAATGAACCCTTGAAGCGGAAATCCCTCAACGTTGTCAATCTGTACATACAGTACATTCCAGTCAATT